CCCCTTAATCCAGACCCTCATACAATAGTGTATAGTTTATGTCTTTCGTCTAGCCCTCGGTATTCATAAAAAACAGAAATTCAGTTGAAACAAAACACAATTTTCTAGGACAAAGGATAGATAAGCCTGTTACCAGCAGACAAAACACATTCATGGAAAAACAAAATAGAAGCACGACATATAATACTGAATACTTATTCGTTATAAAATAATACCTTTTTTTTTTAACTTAGGGAACTACCATTTGATTTTTATGGGGGGCTAGGATGAAATTTGAAAAAAAAGGCAGGACAGGAGTTTTGAGTGAAAAAAAGGCAGGATGAGACACTTTGCCCAAAAAAAAGGCAGGATGACAATTTATGTAAAAAAATGTCAGGATAAACTAATAAAAAAAGGCAGGACCGAATAAAGTGAAAAATAAAAAGGCAGGACAGAGATTACAACTAAAAAAAATGCAGGACAAAATTTTTCATCCTAGCCTCTATAAACTAGTTTTGGTTGACTTCGAATGAAATTGTTCAATTTATCCAAAGACATGGCTCATCCATTTGATTTTATATATAATATCCTATTAGTTGACAACAGCAATTTAATTGCTTTAAAAATAAAAACTTACCTTTCGAGTGAATATTTATTCCCAGATTAAAACAGCCTACTTGGTCTTTCATAAATAAATTTACGGTCAACTCGACTTTTAGAAATCGATGAGCCATATCCTTTACATTCTTGTTCATTGCATGTCTCCATATTAATGAAGAAGACGTTCTAAGTTGCAAAACTTGTGTCTGATCCTATTGTCATTTTTTTTGGTCAATAAAAATATGTTTTAAACTGAATACTTAAGGAATAATGACACGGACCATTCTAAAAGAAGAATATTTATTATTCCAATCAAGGGCCCTTGACGGGCAACATAACATGTACACATAAAACAATACATCATGATTTGTAACAGAAAAACATTTTTATATATTAAAATGAAACATTGAAAAGTTCAGACAGATGTTATTATCTTCATTCTATAAAAAAAAAATCACATACATTTAATTCCAGGCAAGATCAGAACATTCTAAAACATTGGAGTACAAACTTTGAACGTACTGCAGATTAAACCACCTTGATCTATTTTGCAACTGGACATAATTTCACATTAATAGATGGCAAAATAATGATAGACTTCATTCGTGTGATTGAGGATGATCGAGGACATAATACATTGAGTAAGTATAATAGTCCCAGAGGTTGATGAACTGGTAGTTAAATGTGGAAAATTGGAAAAATCTTCAAACAGTTCAGTAATAGGAGGTGCATAACTTCTGTGAGGTAATGAAGATTTGTGTTGAAATAAATATAAATTGGCATCAGCTTTTGAAAATTAGACTTTAAATATTTCCCAATGCTGGGGACAAAGAATTAAAAAATGATCAAACAATTCCATCATACCTGGTGCCGATTTTAACTTCAATATGTGTACGGATACGTCCAATCTGTCTTTGAAGTTTAAATGGTCTGGGTTGAAAACTGTATCCAAGAGAAGTCGAAAACAAAAAATATTTGCCGTCTTTTGTAAATTCTGCTGAAAAAATTCCCAAGTTTGACATAATGGGGAAAAATACCTAAAATAATTTAAAATAGCAGGGGCACAATTTCAATATGTGTACTACCCATATGAAGTTTAATTCAGAGATTGGATACTGTACTGACAGTTGATTTTCTCAATATTGGTACTCTATATTGTAAATTGGAATGAAAATTACTGTGAAAAGCTCCCTTGTCTGGGGAAAAAAATCATCAAACAACTTTATAATATTTAGTATGTGTACAACTTCAATATAATTATGTTCAATCTTTCTCTGATTACCTAATCTGTAAGATAAACCATGAAATCATAAGTACCTGAGGATAAAAGCGGATATAAAAAAATTAAACAAAGTAAATAATGAAATAGAATTATAGATGACAGAGATTTTTCAGATACATTTCACAATAAATGTATTGTCATTTATTGACTTTTCCTTAATAATCCCACCCTAGACTAAATGATTTCATAAAAGTCATCTATATAGCAGCTAGCTTACTAGCTACCTAAAATAAATCGTATGTAATCTGGGTGGGTTTTTTTACAGCATGAAAAATTTATTCTATGTAGAGTGGTCATCTAAGCCATCACTACAAAAGTCAAAAAGTCTGAAAAGACCAGTTTTTGTCTGAATTTGCATGAATTTTTACTCGACATTCTTAATTTGTCTGAATAATTTAAAAAAATTCTTGACATAGTATGAATTTGTCTAATAAGGTTCTTAATTTTTCTTGACAAGTGTCTTGACAGTATGAACATTGTCTTAAAATTTCTCGACACTTCCTGTATCATCTGATAAGAGTCTGGATTAGTCTCGACCAATTCTTGACTGTCTTAAATTTGTCTCGATCTGTCTTGACATATTCTTGACATTCTTAATAATGTCTGAATATGTCTCGACATATTCTTGACATTCTAAATAATGTCTGAATATGTCTCGACACATTCTTGACAGTCTTAGATATGTCTTGACACTATCTCAACAGTATAAAATTCGCCTGAAATGTGGACAGACTTATTCAGCACTGTTTATGACATTCTATTGCTGTTGTATACTCCTTTTTATTATGGCTAAACTAAACTTTGAAGAATCAAGGATTAATTTGGTATAGTAAGATACCCTTTTGGTGCAACTAAGTTGGAATACCCCGAATAATCCCCCATGTAGTTTAATTTTGATTTATTTTTATAAAACATTTAAGTAATTGTTTTCACTTGGAATATAAGTCGAAGGTATTGACAAACAGCATTTAGATTTTTGCCGTTCGCAAAACTGCCAGTCAAATTTGCTTTACTAAAATAGGTGTCTTGTATCTCTTTTGGACCCCACAATTCATCTTTTGGGTGTGTGTGGCTAAAAAAAGAGGGGGGGGGGGGGGCTTTCGTTTAGGTCAAAGAATTTGTTCCCATCTTGATTCAAAAACCTTATTTATTTTTTAGAACAACCCAAAAACATTTTTTATTCAAATTTGAGTGTTGAATTTTATAATTTTTTAACAAAAATAAATATTTGTGATAACTCCTTCCTGAAAAAAAAAATGTTTAGATCTATATTATGCATGTCTGTTTGAGAACCATTTCATAAGACCGATGATTTCTATAGAAATCATTGATGGGACCCATTATAAATACATTTTTTTTTATTATTCCTGGAGTAGATAATAATTTTCTTTTAATCTTTGGAATTTATTCAATTTGTTTTTATGTTGAAATAATTAACTTCATAATTTTGATGAAGAAAATCCATTTCAATTCAATTTTTTTTCATCAAAATTATGATTTTCATTTTCATCTATCAACAAACTTTTTAAATTGTAGTGGCATGGTCGGTCAACTGATAAGTTGTATGGCTGATTACAGGTAAAGCAATAACTTCTATTTGACAGTTGCGTGTACTCTGGGGTGTGGAATACCTTAGTTTTATGGGGAACATCCTGTCCATGTGTAATACTTAATATATTCCAACAGATGACATTACACAAATTTTTCTTCTGTTAAATGAATGATTTGTATATCATAATTTGCTATTTATATAAACCACATTTTGGTATAATAATTATTTACCATATCAACATTGAATATTATGAATGTAGAATGAAATATGTCTACAGTATGATTGGTTTGAATCATTTAATTTATAAGATTTAGGAATCAAAATTTGTAATTATTTAAAAACCCACATTGAAATTGTTTTATATCAACACACCCACATTTGAATTATTTTATACTTTAGATTTCATAGCCATATTTGCATTTGTAAAAATATCAGAGACATATATACACATATTTATATATGTCTCTGAAAATATTTATATACCCAATTTTCAATTATTTTACATGCCCAACTTTTATTTTTGTTGTAAAGAAGTGTAACTTGAAACAACAGTATATCATATAAAGAGAAATAAAGATTAAAGTTATATCATGAATATTGGTCATGATTTGTAAAACTCAGACCTGTCAAGTAAATTTAAGACACGATTGAAAATGTTCAGAATATGTCAAGCCATACTGAGAAAAAATAAGAATGTCGAGAATATGTCGAGAAATTTCAAGACAGTATTCAAATGTCAAGAATTTGTCAAGAAATTTTAAGACCATATTCAGAATGTCGAGAATATGTCGAGTAAATTTCATACAAATTTAATATAAATGAGAATTTGTCAAGAAAAATTAAGACACAAGTCATACTTTTGGAGAATGTCGAGTAAAAGTTCATGCAAATTAAGACAAAAACTGGTCTTTTCAGACTTTTAGACTTTTGTAGTGCATTGACTCAATAATGGTCGACAAGCGGTTACATTAAATGTTTCTCATGAAACTGAGCAATGGAGATCATCTACTAGTAATTCAGAATTGATTTTTTCCTTTTGTAATGAAAAAAAAGCGTTGACTGTTCAAAGTAGATTTTAAATCTTTCTTAAATTTTGCTGAAAATACCTAACTCGTACAGTTTTCAATACAAATCTTTAAAATTACACAGAAATTTTCAACACATATTGACTGAATGATTTGTCCAGCTGGTATGATGAAAATGTTTTTACTTGTTTCTCTCCTTTTTTTTCCAAACTTGGCAACTTTAATAAGATATCATTTATAAGATGCGGGTTATCATTATACATTTCTGATAGACTCAAACGGGGTCAATAAATAATAGATTTTATTTTGATTTGATTTTTGGTGTTTTCACGCCACTTTTAAGCACCGCCTTTGAGCTATTTCGTGGCGGCCAGTTTTTATTGGTGGAGGAAGCCGGAGTGCCCGGAAAAAACCACCGACCTTCGATAGGAAAACTGACAATCCTAGTCAAAATAAATCGAATAGAAGTACATAACACAAATAAGACCATGGTTCATCGAATGATTGATTCGCAATCTTTGATTTTAAAGCGTTTAGGTGATGCAGACTATTTTAATAGGGGATTCCCCAATGTTGACAGGAAGCCATTTTAAGCTCAGGTTTAGATTGTTTTCGTTGATAAAATGTAATAAATTCTGTCTTCTGACGAATCTAAGGAAGCAAGGTAAAGCGTTTCCGCAACAATATGCATCTTTTCATTAAACTAATATTTTGATCAATGTGACAACCTGAAAATAGTGCATTATGGACCCAGGTAAACCTGACACCTTATCAATAAATAAACAAATCTCCTTTATTTACAAATAATGTCAGGTGTAATAGCACATAATGGACAATTAAAGCAATAATACCATCTCTCTTAACAAAGTTAATTCACGAGATGGATTACTTGAACTTCAGGCTACTGTTATACTGGTATGAAATTAGGTACCAGTATTGTATTTATTTTTTTTATTTTAATAATTAATAATCATGATATTATTTTTGATAATAAATAATCAGTCTTTGATAAGACCATAAACAAATAATACATGTGTTTCCGCTAACCCTACCTACCCTAATTTTTAGTGCCTACCCTAACACTTTTTATGCCATTTTGGAACAAGCACGGTTAAAGTCAGACTGATTCCCTAGTAGTAGTAGTACATCACTACATGTAGTAACCAGCTAAAAAATGAAAAAATGTTTGAAAATGAAATGATATTGCCTAATTACAGTACGGGTAGAGACTTATTATTATGGATGTCTTAATCCGTCTAGATGTCAGACTGGTCGGACAGTTGTCTCAGTGTAATTACAAATGTAACACCTGCTGTGATATTAACCTGTACAATATCCGAGTGGAAGGTCGTAAATCAATCTGTACCAGCTTGATTAGAATTAAATTTTACCGGTACAGATATTTTCCTACATGTGAACCTCCCGACGGGAGTACAATAATCCCTTTTTCAGGGGTCTCCTCCCGACCTCCAGTTGAAGACAAAAAAATCCCATGTATGAAATATTTCATGAATGAAAAATTTCAGCCCAACATATCTGGTGTAACTGACATTACCTGAAGTTATATTTTACATGTAAATCAATTAACATGCATAATTATATGGCTTCACTTGTAACCTTGGGTGTCAAACATACTGGTAATCAACGATTTTTACCTCAGGCTAACTGCCGTTGTGTAATAAAACTTTGTGTATTTAAAATGAATGTTGGGTTACTTCCCTTGATTTGTCCTGTTTTAAGTTATTTTCCTTTAAATAATGTAAATTTTTAAAAGAATATAAATAAAATATAAATTGAACAAATAATCATAAAAAGATCGTAATTAAATGATTTTAAATGTCTTAGGACAAATAAAAAAATAATAATTTGAAAATTATTTGAGGGATCTATACTTCCTTTCAAGGCTTAAATTGAAATTTATATAATAAATATGAGCCATGATTATCCAGTCAAGGACGTTAAAAACTTCCATTTGTTTGTTGTACAATTTGAATGTGTTACTAATCATGCATTGAAAATCAACTTGCATAAAGATAAAAATAAAAGATCTACTTGCAGATAGATAAGCAAATGTTCTGATTGCAATGAATAATGGTAAAAAAATATGACCTAAAAAATTTAAAGAACATACTAAAAAAGAAGAATGTTAGATTGAACAAGTTGAAAGTTTAAAAAGATAGAGAAAATTTATAAGTACAAGGGTACTATAAACATAATACATTCGGATGGAAAGTTGAAGAAAACACACTTTAACAGACAATTTCTACAGCACACGGTTACATTTACGACAGAATTTATGTCGATTAAAAACCTCCTGATCTGAGTCCTAATCTCCTGACCAAAATTTCCCAAACTCCTGATCTTAGTTTCACAGTTCATCACATGTATGTATTTTAGTATTTATGGAGGATAGATAATAAATGTAAAATATTGTTTTGTATTCAAAGAAAAAATCACAAGAAAAATAAAAATTTAATATCATGAATATGGGATCAACTTTTTTTTAACTTGAAAATGAAAGAAAGACAATTTTTAACAATGTACTGTAAAAATGTGTTGCCAATTATAATAATTGTGTTTGTGCCAATAAACTATTTGTATTTGTGAACCGTAAATATTTCATTTTATTCAAAATTATAACAACCAGGACTGTTTTCAATCCCGTAAATTATACGAGTTTTCGTTGATGGTTACAATATTTCCCCCTTTTAACGTCCTGTTCCTTTATGTTATTAATAGAAACACAATTTTAAGTATAAGGCCAACATATCGTATTTATAAAGTATATAAACAAATTGAATATAGGCATTGTGAATAAACTGTTATTTTCCTTTCGATACCCGTCGGAGCCTCTACGTCTATTCATACCTGTCTATCATTTCTCGCAAGTAAAACAATTTGGTCAGCCAGATCATCCGTGCTTTCTATTTTGACATATATTTCCTGTTAATCTCTTTGAAACAATTGGGTTTTTTTTTACAATATTTATAACGCCGTGATCATCTTTCGATTCCTAGTTTTTATATAAAATAAACTTTTCACATGCACGTCAATATTCTATGACCCAGCATTATTTTAAATTTTGTTTGTTAATAAATATAATGTAAATAACAGATTTGTTGACACTCGTTGTATTATAACAAAGATATTGCCTTTCTATTTCCATGTTTGAAATTTTAATGAAAATCTTGTTTTTTATAAACATATTTTACGAATTGTGTCAATCAATACACGAAGATCAAAGTTTTACACTATTCATGATCAGCCGTCTTTACTTTTGCGTCATATTTCTAGCCATTCAAAAGCTCGTGCAGTCAGTAATTATTGTAAATTGATGTCGGCAGTTTAAATTGTATAATTCCCGAACTTTAAAGGAGGTGTCCGAATAAATTATTTAAATAGGAATCTGGGTGTTGACTGATAAATATTATAAATAAAATAGTTAAAGAAGACTCGTTATCTTCTTCTAGTGTTATTATTTGCGTACTACTTTAGTTATATATCACCAACTTTTGGACAATATTGTTTACAGTAAAAAGTAAATTCACAATTATAAAGAATCACCAAACTACTAGTATACAAGTATTGATCACTGTAATTATTTTTATTTCAGAACCGACCCAACGCAGACTGAAAATTAAATACAAATGTAGCGTTGTCAAACTAAAACGTATGCAGCAGCACTTTGCACATTATTCTGCTAATCAATGGGTTTACGTGGAAAATAAATCAGTAAAACAAAAATAACCTTCCAGAAATAAAAAAGAAAATATTTTAAAAACTGTATGCCAACAAATACGAAAAAGATACATATAAAAAAAAAAAAACCAGGGAACATAAAAAATAATATTTTGAGGAATATAAACAGCATTTGAAATATAAAAAAATAGGCTATTTTTATTAAAACAAAGTTGTCTCCAGTATTTCACCTGTAAAAATATTTTATGTCAAATACATGTACACATGTACGATGTAGAACTAATCAATAAAGTGACTGAGAGGTTTAAATCACAGGTAACCTGCTTCTGAAATCAGTGAAGCGTAATAATCTAGTAGCAGGGATTGAGATGAAAGGACAATTATATTACCGTTCACACCTGGATCTGTTGATTAATGACCAAACTACCTACCATAAAAAAGTCGGATTATTCATTTCCGACATGTCCCAGTCCGTTATTTATAGTAATAAGTCTCTACCCGTACTGTACCTACCCTATTTTTTTTCAGCATGTTAGCAGAAATACATGTATTATTTTTTTGGCCTAAGATATTAATAGGAGACAGGTGTTATATACTTATTGTATGCATGTATAAACATGTAGTGATGTACATGTTATGCAGTGTTATGTATGCATATACTTTTTAAATATTTTATTATGTTTATACTTTAATTTTTGTTTTTATTACCATGATTACCAATCAACGTTATCATTGTCAACAAATACACAGTCAAACATGGCGTCTAAATAATTATGACGTTTTGTAAGGCTATTTTAATTTATTTTATATGACGCCTTCCTACAGCATGTACAGGCTACAGTACCACATGTACCACATCCATGATGATCCCACGTCATCATAAACATGGTAACGCTGAAGCCAATTTTTTTCGTCTGGAGTGTTTTGCTCTCATCTTTGATACCCAATTTTGCCTTGAAATTTTCATTGGCAGCTAGAAATTTTTGAAAATAAATTCTTATCTCTATGTACGCATGTTGATGCAAATTATTTCCAGAAATATCCAAAATTAATGATAACATACAATGTAAGTTCCAATTTAATCCGAGATGTGCAATGACTTACTTAGTTTTTAAAATGGTTTCCTAGATTTCAAAAGATCCTTCACTTTCTGCATGTTCTGAGAGTATAAAATATATTATAATCATACTCTGTAAAATTGGATGGACCTGAAATTTCAGTAACGTTCAATTTTTATTATCTGGAAACAATTTTAAAAACTTAGTACATTGTAGTTCATCACACATCTCAGACATGTCAGATGTAAATGTAACTTAATTATCACTTGAGTTGCAAAACTATCATAGGATCAAAAAATTCTAAGCAACCAATTAGTTCATATGATCTATGCACCACTAAAGAAAACGAAGATGATAAATTTCCATTTAGTGTACATGTGCTCACAACATGCACAAGGAACATGGTACATGTACAATATTGGACATTAATTTAGACTAAGCAATGAGGTGCAAAGTTGATGCTGGACTTATTGATTTTCCTTAAACATGACCATGACGACAGAAATACAAATAACATTATTGTACATCCACATTCATTATTGCACTTAGATAGTTTTATGTTACAGACACAATGACAGACGTCATCATGGAGACCTTCATTTAATTTTAATAGACTCAAAAAACACAGTTAACTTCTGTATTCAGCAGTTAGAACAAATTTTTTAACTAATTAACAACCGTGATCTGTACGGTCCTATAGTTTTTTATGCCCCCGCCGTAGCGGAGGGGGCATTAAGTTTTACCCTTGTCCGTCTGTACGTATGTACGTCCGTCCGTACATCCCGAAATTGATTTCCGTTCTCTAACTTGAGTTTGCCTCAACCAAATGTTATGAAACTTATACACAATGCTAATTACCACAAAACACAGATCAAGTTTGAATTTTGGTGGCGTCACTTTAACCAATCTCTAGAGTTATGCCCCTTTATAAAAGGAAATATTGCAAAATTTTTAGTTTCCGCTCTCTAACTTAAGTTTGCCTCAACCAAATGTTATGAAACTTATACACAATGCTTATTACCACAAAACACAGATCAAGTTTGAATTTTGGTGGTGTCACTTTAACCGATCTAGAGTTCCATGCCCCTTTATAAAAGGAAAAATTGCAAAATTTTTATTTTCTTCTAAATATCAAGTTTATATAATATATTTTTAAAATTGGAGTTATCTTCCTTTGACCATGATTATAGTTGAATCAACTACAATCAATGCAATGTTTAATTTTGACTTCCACTGATAAAACACAGATCAAGTTGAATTTGGGTAGTGTCACTTTAACCATTATTGAGTTATGCCCCTTTATAAATAGAAAGATTGCAAATTTTTTTAGTTTCCATTCTGTAACTGAAGTTTTCCCCAGCCAAACATTATGAAACCTATACACAATATTCATTACCACAAAACTCAGTAAGGATCAAGTACATTTTTTTTGTTTCAGTTCTCTAACTTGAGTTGGCCTCAACCAAATGTTATGAAACTTATACACAATGCTTATTACTACATAATACAGATTAAGTACGAAATTAGGTGGCAACACTTTTACCATTCTTGAGTTATGTCCCTTTATAACCATAAAAATTGCTGAATTTTTTAGTTTGTCTCAACCAAATGTTGTAAAACTTATACACAACCGTTCTAGAGTTATGCGTGTTTACAAATAGAATAATTGCTGAATTTTTAGTTTCTGTTCTCTACTTAAGTTAGCCTCAACCAAATGTTATGAGACTTACACACAATGCTTATTACCACAAAACTCAGATCAAATTCAAATTTGGGTAGCGTCACTTTTACCGTTCTTCAGTTATGTTCCTTTATAACTATATGATATGCAAGCGGGGGCATCATCTGTGTCCACATGTGGACACTATCCACATTTATTTAACTCTGATGTCTCTACGCCATAATAGGCTCTATTGTCCGGAACTGTTAACTATGTTTTAGCCCGCTCTCTCTCTTCGCTCTCCATTGTAAACAAACTTCACTGTGTACATGTGTTAGACTAAATCAGTATTAAACAAGTAACATTCAATTGCAGTTAAGTAATGACTTAATGTCCTTGTGTAGTTTCATCATAACTGGCGCTAAAGCAACTCATGATCAATTTCAGTACTTATACCATTGCCAATTTTAGAAATTTCCAAATGCCTAAGGGATATTACTCTTACTCCAAATTAATTCACCTGTACAAGTAAATGAAAATCACTTAAACATGTAAGCATGAAAAGTATTACCTCTGACTCCAACATGCGCATATGGAACTTAAATAAATTGTATAGACATGATTGAAGAATTGTTTTCCTCAACATGTTGATTCAAAAGTTTTTCATGATGGTAATGATTTTCAATATCCAATCATAACAGTCCAATCTAACCAAAAAATGGTATTTCTACTCAGACATTGCCAGAAGCACAAACACAAAACAGACACTGAGCTTATGTTTTAAAAAGTTCATTCAAAAGATTTTTCATGAAGATAAAAATTAATAATATCATGATTGATTCAACCAAAGCATGGTTTTGCAACTCGCCAGTTAAAATTAAAGCAGACACTGACATGTTAAAAGAACATTCAGATATTTTTTCATTATATTGTGAAAAGAGTACAATGATGTATGTCATAATTTTTTTTAATTTTTTTAATAGTTTAAGATGCCTGTCAATCCAGTTCAACACAGAATGAAAAGAATTTTTCGGAAAATCAGTATTTGTTTTGTTTTCCTGTCCAGAATCAACAATGTGAGTTATTTCCCTTTAACAGATCAATAGAAAATTGTTTTTTCATTCGTTTAATGTTCACACTTCTTCATTTATCAAAAAAATATTTCACTACTCTAAGTTAGTTTGTTTAGACCTCTTGGAATGTTTAAAGTGAATCAAGGGTTCTCATAATACAGAAAAGTATATATAACAGGAGTTGTCTAAAATATTGGATAAACCACCATTTTGATCTCTGATCAAAGTATTTCAATAATGTTTTCGTCTGTGAAGGAACTAATACTAATATGAGCTTAATATAAAAATGAGAAGATGTGGTATTATTGACAATGAGACAACTCTCCACTGAAGACAAAATGACGTAATGTTAACAACTATAGGTCACTGTATATATGACATTTTTGTTTGCTACATGTATGAATTTTTTATAATTCTCATTTATGAAATAACACATTATGGGGTCAACACCTATAGAGGCAAGTTAAAATTTCACTTACATTTCCACTATGCAAAAACATAGATGACAAACCCACCTATAGTTGAGATTTGGAAGTGCCCTCCCTGGGTCCCATGTATGTTTTTATGGAACAGCCCTTTATACATATACATTGGAATTATATTGTTTTGTAAAGTTTTTTACATATACATGATATATGCCCATGTATGCAAGATATAGTTGTATTAACTTTACAAGGCTTGAATGTTCAATTCTAGGGACCAATCAGACCATACCAAACACGTCATGGGAATAATCACCATAGCAACAATGGACATGATGGACACAACAAGCCTACAAGTAATTTTAGAGTGGCCAGTCTCTGCTTCATGTTCCTCAGACGCTTACATGTAAGAATATTGCATTTTGTATAATAATTTCAAGTACCAATTAAGTGAGAGAAAAATCTGGAAAAATAACATTACAGCTGAGACAGATTTACACGACACATTGGATAATTGGCACACACTAGATGTAATCATTGCAAAATTCTTCCATAGTCAATTTGCATGTTATCATGGTTATGACAACCTTTTTATACATGACCGCAAAAAATTTTGCGGATGTATATTGGTATCATGTCGTCGTCCAAAGACATTTGGTTTCTGGACAATAACTTTAGTAAATGTAAACCGAAATCTATGAAATTCAAACACAAAGGTTTATAACCACAAAAGGAAGGTCGGGATTGATTTTGGGGGTTATGGTCCTAACAGTTTAGGAATTTAGGGGCCAAAAAAGGGGCCCAAATAAGCATTTTTGTAGTTTCCAGACAACAACTTTTGTTTGAGTGTATGAATCTCTCTGAAATTATACCACAAGTTTCCATACCACAAAGGGTTGGTTAGGATTGACTCTGGGGGATTATGGCTCAAACCATTTAGGAATTAGGGGCAAAAAATGGGGAAAAACAAGGGTTTCTTGGTTAATGGACAATTAAGACAATTTAAAAGCAGTGTAAGGGAGGTAATCCAAACACATTTAAAGTAAAATGTTGTGTATGATTCGATTACCTCCCTAACACTGCTTGTAAATTATGTATAAAGAAATGTAGATTGTCTTGGCCTTGGGGTGATTTATAGCTGTCAATTTATTTTTTAGAAGTTACTATTAATCTATATTAATTTTAGCCAAATGTCATTTCCTATTTTAAGACTTTTATGATGTATTTAAATTGGTAATTACGGTTGCAAACACCATTAGAAATTTGAATTGGGATTATGACCATATCTTGAGGGAAAGAAATTATTTTTGGAAAAAGGGGAAAGGGGGAGGGAGGTGAAGAAAAAAATTTAGAGGTGGGGGTAAATAGAAAATTGTGGGTGGGGGGGGGAGGACAATTTTTTTTTCATTTCAGATTTCAGAAATTAAGAAGATAATTTCTTCAAATATTTTTTTTTTTTTTACAAAAAAAAGGGCGGGGGGGGGGGAGGGTCAATACGCAACAGCATAGTGTATTGCACAAAAGCAAAAAAAGGGGTAAAAGCTTTATTTCTTTGGGATTGGGGGTTCAATTCGCACAAAAGCACAAAATTGAATATAAATTCAAATCATATGACCAATTCTAAGTTCTAAGTTCTTTGACTACAGTTATTCTGTGTCAGAAACCTATTATGTGTCAAATATTTTATTACAATCCAAATTCAGACCTGTATCAAGCGCGAATATTGTGTCCTTTTTTGCCCCAACTGTTCAGGGTTGGACCTCTGCGGATGTATCCGGCTGCGCTCAGCGAAGCAATTTATTATCTTCTCAAATAGGTTTCTTAAAGTGTGGTGACCAAAAAATGTATATTAGTCCCCATTTTCATATTGGCTATATGTATATGACAACAACTTGTAAGGCAGATATAATTGCATGAATTAAAAAATGTCACTAGGAATTTATGTAGATATACTCATCATATATAACAGGACTAAAATTTTGCACACCATGTGCGCGTTTCATCTAGATCTATAAAGGACTCATCAGTGACGCTCGAATCAAAAAAGTTTAAAAGACCAAATAAAGTATGAAGATGAAGAGCGTTGAGGACCCAAAATTCTGAAAAGTTTTGCCAAATACAGTTATGGTAATCTATTCCTGGGATAAAAATTCCTAAGTATTTCGAAAAATTCAAAGTTTTACAAGCAGTTAATTTATGATTATGACCATATCAATGATAATTCATGGCAACACAGAAGTGCTGACTACTGGCCTGGTGATACACTTGGGTAGAAGTATCATTGTTACATATACATGTATATTAATATTTTTTAACCTTGATGATAGTTTAAGCAGTATTTACATAAACCATAATCATTTAGTTGAAAGTAGACATACTATACATAAAGATAAGATATCTGTTTTACAGGCATTTGAAGACCATTTCCATGCTTGTAACACACAAAACCACAGACCTCTGATGAAAAAGCCAAAACGAAACTTAAGTGCCAGTGGAAAGTGCCCATGTTGTAATCTGAAGACTGATTCCGAGAACGGAGAAGAGCAGACTAAAACCATACTTACCCATTTCTTGAGGGATATCGTTCCAAAATTTTCACGAATTTGTATTGGTCAGAATCCACAAAGCTCATCACAGATTTGGACACCAGACAAAAAACCACAAAAATGGCCAACAAGTCTTGTCTGGAAAGATCCTAACAACACTCCAAAAGACACTTTAGAAGTCTTGCAGAAAAAGATGGACATTTTAATGCAGTTATGTGATATTAAAAAAATTCCACCAGAATATTACCCTGAACTTCAGGCATACAAGGAATATTGTCATGAACTGTCAAACAAGAAGGAATCGGCAGACATTTCCAAACTACAAATCTTACGGCAGCAGCGTAAGAAGTCACATGACCTCGCCCAAGCTTGTCGGAAATTTTCGGAATTCGTTCAGCATCATGGTTTACCAGATAAGTCCCCTTTATTACAGAAAGAAATACAACGCCTGAGTCAAGTTTTACTCGAAGCTAACTCGAACAACAAGTTAGCGTCCCAGTTTGATGAGGTTTATTGTGCTATTGCTAATGCAGAGGTAACTTTTTCTCAAGTATTCAGTTTTTCCCATTTAACAAAAGTTAAAGAGGAAATGACTTCATTCATGTTACAAACATGACAAAAATAACCAGAAAGATAAGTTCTTCATATAAGTCTACATGGCTGACAATCATCAGGAGTGATCATCTTGAAAGACAATTTTCACCAAATTTTTAGCTTTTGCCAATAATTATGGAAATATTCTTATTGCATTGTACAATTTTATGCAAAACTGCCAAGTGAGTGATACAGACTCCTGTAAGCCTCTTGTTTCATAAATTATATTTGACCACCATTTTGATAATGATTGGGTCTTATTAAGGTGTCTCATATATACATGTACATTATAAAAATAAGGAGTTGTGGTATCCACAAAAGTCCAAATGAAGTGGATGTAAGGCCATACGCAACTCTGGGTATTGTATACTAACTTCTTTTAGAGAATTCAATTTGATGAGAGATGAACTTGCTGACTTTTTTAAAACAAATTTAAGGAGGAATAAAATAATAATGCATATATATACTATTACATGTATTATATTCAGGCAATTGCAAACAATACACATTGACAGGAGTTTATGGTTACAGTAGCAGCAGCTATTGTTAATAAAGTTTTTATGCCCCCGCTGTAGCAGTGGGGGGCATTAAGTTTTACCCTTGTCCGTCTGTACATACGTCCCAAAATTGGTTTCTGTTCCCTAACTTGAGTTTTCCTCAACCAAATGTTATGAAACTTATACACAATGCTTATTACCACAAAACACAGATCAAGTTTGAATTTTGGTGGCATCACTTTAACCGTTCTTGAGTTATGCCCCTTTATAAATGGAAAAATTGCAAAAAAATTTATTTCCGTTCTCTAACTTAAGTTTGCCTCAACCAAATGTTATGAAACTTATACACAATGCTTATTACCACAAAACACATATCAAGTTTGAATTTTGGTGGCGTCACTTTAACCTTTCTAGAGTTATGCCCCTTTATGAATGGAAAAATTGCAAAATTTTTAGTTTCCGTTCTATAACTTAAGTTTGCCTCAACCAAATGTTATGAAACTTATACACAATGCTTATTACCACAAAACACAGATCAAGTTTGAATTTTAGTGAATCAACTACAATCAATGCTTTATACAATGCAATGTTTAATTTTGACTTCCACTGATAAAACACAGGTCAAGTTGAATTTGGGTAGTGTCACTTTAACCATTATTGAGTTATGCCCCTTTATAAATCGAACGATTGCATAATTTTTAGTTTCCATTCTGTAACTTAAGTTTGCCCCAACCAAACATTATGAAACATATACACAATATTCATCAGTCACGTCTCAGTCATTACAACTGAACGGACGTGCTGGGTCAGCTCTCCTTTACCCGCTATCTTCGATGAGGGTTTATTGTTAGATGGATCAACGACTTACTACTTTCGATGACAGAAACCAATCCAACGCTGTACAGACTACGTTAGGCTATAATCCGCGTAGGGCTAGTTCCCGCGTCAACATACACTCCAAAACCCATTATGGATGGGGGAGTGGTATGCCGAGTGACGTCCGAGGGCTGTATCCTAGGTGTTAGATGATGGACCACCATTTCACTGTCTCACGACTTTGGTCCTGATAATGCTTCCTGTCATCGTTAATACTACGTCCGAGACTCATCTACCAGTACTCCATCATCGAGGTTAGCGGGCTGCCAGCTTGACCAATCTGGCCCTGAAAACAGCCGTTGTGAAGACATAACATCGAAATAGTCAACAAAAGTAAAACCAAAACAACTCACAAAACCAAGATGGCGGCCTACCAAAATGGCGTCCTCCACCTGTCCCTGACCGATGGCACAAAATTATTTAAACGCTCACCAAACGCCTTCAGGCACCGAGCCGACCGTGCGAGGGATGTATATCCAGTCAAGGTCGTTAAAAACTTCCATTTGCTTGACAATATTCATTACCACAAAACTAAGATCAAGTACAAATTTTTTGTTTCTGTTTTCTAACTTAAGTTTGCCTCAACCAAATGTTATGAAACTTATACACAATGCTTATTACTACATAATACAGATTATGTAAAAAAAATTGGGGGCGACACTTTTACCATTCTTGAGTTATGTCCCTTTATAAACATAAAAATTGCTGAATTTTTTGTTTCTGTTCTCTAACTTTAGTTAGTCTCAACCAAATGTTATAAAACTTATACACAATCGTTCTAGAGTTATGCGTGTTTACAAATAGAAAAATTAGATCAAGTTCAAATTTGGGTAGCATCACTTTTACCGTTCTTTAGTTATGTCCCTTTATAACTATATGATATGCAAGCGGGGGTATCATCTGTGTCCACATGTGGACACTATCCACATTTATTTTTTTAAGGTTTTAGAAAGATAGATTTCACCACTGCAACAAGTGTGTTACGATATTTCTCCACTCGAGACAGTTAAATTTTAATATTTAAAGGGCTAGGCTTGCCGAGCTTTTTAAATAATTAAAATTTAACTGTTGAGAGTGGAGAAATATTGTAATACACGAGTTATAGTGGTGGAATCTGTTTCTCTAATGATTTTTATCCTTCCTTTTGAAAGATTTGCAGAAAGTTGTGTTCTTTATACATGTATGTGATGTCATCAGGCATGGTCGCCTTTTTGCATGACGTCACAATAAGAAATTCAGTAGAAACCAAGAAAATTTGACGTCATAATTAAATTTTGACCAATAATTTGCCGAGAACAGATATTTCACTAGTGAGGAGAAATATTTTTCTCACACTGATCAAGAAATGTGAAAATAGCTAAAAAATTAGAGAAATCAATAAAACATGTCTTTTAAGAGAGTTTTAAACAGAATGCTTATTTTTCAGGGAACAGAAAAGCCCCCTGAAGAGTTTATGGCACAATTTGCTTCATCTTCGCAGACTTACACTGCAGGAGATATCTTTATGGCAACTTCAACAGGAAGTTTCCGTCGTGACAACTCCTACAGTTACTTAACCAATAGTCAGGGATCAGAATTCCAGGATATCTTTTATGCCAGAAGGCCTTGTGAGAAGAGAGTGTTTGCAGATACTACCCAGAATTCCAATTTTGTGTACAACCCATTGGGGGGTAAGAGACTTAAAGCTTGCTCTCAAAGTATCTTAGAGAATGGTTTCGCAGGAAGTGGATTTTTTTGACAAAGGGATTTTATGCTTGTGTTTTCTTGAGAAAAAATTCCATCTGCAAATTTATTGTTCGATTTTTTATATATAATGTATTTATAGATTGTATTTATTGTTGAAAAACAGGTTTTTAAACCAGGGTAATTTATTTCAAATTAGGATAATTCGTTGAAGTTGCACATGTGTGTGCTAATATGAAATAAAGGCTTAAAAGAATAAGTTTCACCTTTTTTTGAGGAGTTTTTAAAAAAATACAGAAAAATAAAATTGTGCAACCTTCACAATAACCCATAAGGTTAATAGACCAGGCGTTTCAAAATTTCAATTATCTGATGAAAAGTTTTTCAGCATTTTGACGAAAGATGTTAATTAATAAGAATGTTTGTATTAAGTTTTTTTTTTTTAAAGTTTTTACAGTTTTTGATAGAAATAATTTATATGATACTTGAAAGGATAAGCATTTGGCTTTTGTATTTAAAGCCTTCAAGGACCTATCAACTATAAAGCATTAATCGGCTTTTGTATAAAACTGTGCATATTTTACACAAAATGAAAGCATATAAATTTTAGTTATATATCATGAATGCAACTCACAAATTCATCATGTTTATCATGTTTATGAAACTGCTTAATTTAGGAAGATTTTCTGCAGAAATTTTTGAAAAAAAAAAACAGAAATTTTATTTAAAAGTTTTCAATTCGAGAAAATTTAATTTAGAGATATTCTCTGCTAAATTCTAGTATGACAACATTTTCATATATTATGTATTTTTTTGCAATTGATAATGTCTGGTACAGAAAAATAATTGAAAATTAAAGGTACATCTGTTTGCTTTTTTATTTTCCCTTTTACTTTACCAAATATAGGAAAACAAGTTAACATACCGGTACTTAATATAAAATGTTCATGGTTTTGATTACTAAATTATAATTGATAATTTCTGGAATAGGTTGACAGTTTTATTACAATATTAGGTAGTTTTGCATTAGGAAAAGTCTAAAGGCATATCTTTTAGAGAATACAAATGCATATACAACTGTATGCCACGTAATAAATATTATTGCATAATTGTTTCTTTTATAACTTTACAAAAGTACTTAAAATGGTATTTTTAACATATCAGTGTTAAATTGTTAAACATTATAATTTACGTGTATTCAATTTTGTTCAGATTGCTGAATGATCATGATGAAAATCAAATTTTAAGAGAAGGTTTGTTTCAAAAATAAGTCATTCTTGATGTAAGAGTTACTCTTTAAAAAGCTTTCTCTTTATTATTTCAATGAGAAGAAAAAACACAAATCTATGCCCTATCATTGAATGAAAATGGTGTGTTGTTGGATTGCTGTCTCATTGATGTACATACTCTAGATCTCTTTTTGTTCATAGTAAAACAAAAAAATGAAGTTGAAATTCTCTTAAAATACATTTAAACAGAATTTTCCTAACATCTTAAATATATTCATACAAACCAGTGAACAATTTCCTTCAAATTTTTCTTTGAAAATAAAAATAGGCATGTTGTATGTTTTTTTTACTCAATGCAAAGTTTGAATCCAATTATTTGTAACGGGAGAACACAACAAAGTAGAATCAAAATTAGTTGTTTTATTGGTGCGACACTTATCTGACAGTTGAAATATTTTTAATTTATTATACTTATGTATAAAACATCTGTGTTTCGTATTTGTGTATGCTTATTGGGGCATAAGTTATGACAACAGGTCATGTGACTGACATGACTGATTACAAACACTGTTGCCTTACAATTTACTACAAATAATTATTGAATTTATACATGACTAATGAATGCTGATATTTGTCAGGGCTATTCCATTAATATAGACTAGGAAGGTACGTCCAAAATCCGCACACAACAAACATACTTTTGTCGTGTAATTTTGCATGAACATCAAAGGGACATACTGTGGATTCATTTATTTTTTCGTGGAATGATGAAAAAAGTAGTTTCATGGATATTTGATTTTGTGGTTTTGTCAAAATCTGAAGCCTATACATGCTATAGTAAGTTTGTATTTTGTTGAACATTTAAATTCTTAGTTTACCTGTGCCCAGGAAATTCATGGAAATTGGTATCCCAAGAATAATAATGGTAAATGACCCATGTACCCATGTCCAAATTTAAAACTACCCTTCATTACCTTCCACAACTATTTTAATGGAATAGCCTTCAGTAGGGTTGAGAGTAACATATGGGGTTTAACAGTATCATAGTTTTACAATGTTACACCACAGTAGGATTGTTGCCTTCTTATGTAAGGCGTGTTTTGTACTTGATCCATATAGAAAACAAATTCTGATTTTGCCAGTAGTATTTTTTATGACCTAAGCTGTAGTGTAATATATTAAATAACATTAGAACTCCTCCAATAAGGTCAAGGCTAGTGGATTGTACAGTGAAACATTTCTTAGTAAACCTTAAGGAAACTGAAGTTTCTGTCTAAAGTGAACTTTTGCATTACAACATGCAGTGAAAATTTCATATTTAAAAGTGTACTTCTTAAATGAACATTAAAAGGGATTGCTTAAGATGAGTTTCACTGTAATGAATATTTATCTCTACTTTGTACATAAAATACACTGATATATTGCTTAACTAATGGACTGTTACACCCCTTAATACATAACAAATTTAGATAGGTTAGGACTGTTCTGTTTTATCCTATTATGATAGGAAAACTGTTTGACTTGAAGCTATAGATGTTTCTGTTAACATTCTCAAATTTACCAAGGCAATATTTCATTAAGTGTAAGGCTAACAATTTCTTTTTTCGAATTTATCTCAATGGACAAGTATAAATTCAAACACAACCTTTTCTAAAGAGTATTGTCATTATTTGTCAACTGTGTTGCTCAACCTGCTCAAGCTGTAATTTTCCTAAAAATTAGGGTAAAATTGAACAGTCTGATATTTTTTTCTCTACTTTGTACATAAAATTCACAGATAGTACATAGTAAAACACACATTTTTACACTTTTTTACATTTGCTGTATATAATGAATCATGTATTGTGTGAACCACCACAATATTGATGTTGTTGTAAATCCCCAAGGGTGGACAGGGTGATAAGACAATGCTGGGTGATATTACAATTATTTGACTTCTCATTGTGTACTGCATTATCTCCCTTGATCAACCCAATTATTCTAATTTCATTTTTCCCATACTTACAGTAGTTATTTTATTTTATTTTTTATTATTCTAAGAAAATAAAACCATACAATTTATTCTAAAAAAAGGTTTTCTTTGTGAAGTTTGAGGCTGAATAAGAAACTATGTGTGTTAAGGGTCTTCCAACAAAGTTGAAAATTGAACTGAGATCCAAAACAATTATGGCAATTTCTTTACACTGCTACATGTATATTATTCTACCAAATATATATATGCTACATGAAATTGTATTTTGATAATCTATTTTCTCTTAGGTATGGAAGACACTACCATCTTGTATTTTCTTTTCCTGTTTGATTGATGATTTATTGGTGTTTGCTTACACCACTTCAGTGCCTGTTTTGATTAAAGACAGATAACATATAAATACATATATATGTTTAAGATTTTTTGTGAACCCTGTCTCACCATTTTTATTTGTTGCTCAAATTCTTAAACATTCTACAAAACATGACAGTGCTACGTTTGCAGTGCTACGTGTGCAGTGCTACAAATAAGTTTTGCATAATAATGTGGTGCAATTTGAATTAAGGATGTTCAATCCTCTTGTTTTTTAATTTTTGCCAGATATTCGGAATCCTCTGGTTTTTATCGATGTAGTGCCATTAAAAAAAATTCCCCACTAACCCCTTATTTTCTTTTCATAATATATTTACACATAGTTTAAAAAGCCATATTTGGAGATGCTATAAAATACTTGTTTTTTTTTCATAATTTTTAAAAGGAAAAGGGTGCCAATGCTAAATGTATGAAAAGTCTAGAGAGGATTATTTCCAGCCAAATTTTCAAAGGCGTATATCTCGAAAAATAAGCACACAGACCCTTATTTTTTTTTCTGCTTTTTTAGTTCCTTTATTTATATACTATCAATTTACAACAGTCTTTTAAAAAGCTTGTTATTTTGAAACAGAGTAGCGAACATCCATAAGCAATCTTTTAGTGAAATATTAGCTACTAATTCTGGTATTAGAGCTAGAATCATTTGACACCTTCTTTGTATGGCTTTCAAATATTATAAAGTAATGTATATTTCTAAAAAATGTTCTCAGCATATTTTTGAACTTCCATTTCGAAGTCTTAATTTCAAAGGATTCGTAAACTCATAGATATGCAAGTGCAAATTGTATAACTCAATTTAACAATAAAGTAAGTTAACTCATGTTAACTTAATTGAAACTGATTTTGTAAAGTGTACAGGACATGAAATGAAAATGGAAAACAAAACAACATAAACAAATTTAAATTTAATTGATAAGTAAACTTAACAAATGCAAATCGTGTTTTATGCAAATTTCATCCAGAGTACTTTTAATCTTACATGGTGTAATCCTAGGAAGATTAAATTTTGTATTAAGTTCACACTGCTGAAGTGTTTAAAATGTGAGTTTCAAAACACAGTGCAGGCTCACTGCAGAATTATCATGCAACAGATATAATCAGATATTGGAATTGCTGAATAGCTAAAATATTATGCATAATTGTATGACCATATCTACTTACTGAAACTCTGTTGTATTGTAATGTATTTGTTCAGAACTGGAATTTTTTAATTTTTTAAATGACCTGTTTGAAATACAGATCCCTTGGTCACGCTATGCTTACAAGGCTCTAATTACAATGCTTGTTTCTACTTTTGTTTTTAAGACCTTTCGGGATCCTGTGGTTTAGTAATTATGTTACTGTCTTGGAGACAAAAATTTCATTGACTAATGCCGTAGTAATTCATACAGAAAGTGAACTGTGTTGTCAGGTCTTTGTAAACAAATTGTGGACACAGGATCTATAATTCAATCAGATTAGACCCCCAAAAAAATGTTTACGCATGAAACTAAAAGTATAATATCAAGCATCCTAAGAAAACCAGAACTTATTCTACTGCATTCCATTTGTAATGACTTCTGTGTCAGTTGGAACAAATTCCTACCATTTTGAGTATTTTGTAACAAGAGATTTGATTGGTTGATTCACATGTTTGTAATGCTTCCTTTGTACCTTTGAAAAATATTTTTTGCCTTTCAGAAAATTATAATTCATGATTGATATTAACATCAAAACATACATTATTGTTCCAATTGACTGACAATGATTCAGTAAAACCACAAATGAAGTCAACTTATGATTCTATTTATGTTTATTTGATAATTCTAGTGGAAATGATTTAAAATTTGTAAATGGTCCAGTCCATTGAAAATAATTAATTCACAGGTGACTAATTTACAGTATATACATGTAGAAGCAATCTTGTTTTGTCTTGTGTTTTTAATTGATTTGGTTGTATTACCATTATTTATTTTAATTTATTTAATGTTATTTTTTTTTGTCAAGAAAGAAATAATTGTATTGATAAATCATTGCTATTAAAATAATGAGAATTCAGAGATGTTCAAATTCATTACTCCCAATCTTCTGAGACTGATCTCAAGTTTGTGTTTGTTAATCACATGACCAAAACCACCAGTTAAAGTCTGTAGTGTCATATCTTTTCTGGTTTGACGTTGAAAAAATAAAGATGGCAGCATTGGCTATCTAGCTTGAAAAACGTATTATTGGTTGATCTGGATTCTGTCTCATCACAACTTAAAGAAAGCCTTGGGTGGTTCTTATTCATTGTATTGAAAAGTAAAATAACAAAAATACCGAACTCCAAGGAAAATTAAAAACGGAAAGTCCCTTATCAAATGGCAAAATCTAAAGCTCAAACAGAAAACAACTGTCATATTCCTGACTAGGTACAGGCATTTCTTTATGTAGAAAATTGTGGATTAAACCTGGTTTTATGTCTAGCTAAACCCCCTCACTTGTATGACAGTCACATAGAATTCCATTATATTGACAACTTTGACTTCATGTTCATATACTTTGTATTGACATAAATTTACACTTTTGTCTGCCAGAACCACCCTAAGAATTCGAACATCTCTATAAATAAAACGAGACTAAATATTAATTATAGTCCCAGATATGCTGCAAATTCAAAAGTTTTGGCAATGATTTTATTATTGGAAGGATAGTCACACAGAAAAATCTGGCTTATTTAAATTTTGATTTGATTTTTGGTGTTTTAAATCCACTTTTAAGAGCATGAAATATTTGCCACTGGACATTAAGCAACCAACAATCAATCAATCAATCAATCCACTTTTAAGCACCGCTTTTGGGCTATTTCGTGGCGGCCAGTTTTTATTGGTAGAGGAAGCCGGAGTGACCGGAGAAAACCACTGACCTTCGATAGGAAAACTGACAATACTAGTCAATTAAGATTTGAGTCAAGTGCACCCGCACGAGCGGGGTTCGAACTCACAACCTCAGTGTTGACTGGCTAGTGATTACAGTAGTTACTAATTAGACCACTTAGCCACCGAGGCCCCCTTTAAATTTTGACAGCATTATTTATATGCTGTTTCCTGAATTCATATTAATTAATCTTTTCATTTAGACCATTGTGTGCAACAACTGCAATAATAAATGATTGCCAAAATTTCTATCGTTACATTATTTTTATTTTAGTATTATTTAATATTTATGAAAAATTAGAAAAAAATATTATTCTAAAAGAAAAAGAGCTTGTGTTCAGTAATGACTTTTTTTTTAAATATTGAAGAACTATAAAATATATATGGTTATTTAACAAATAAAGTGTCCTGATTTAAATATAACTTATAAAATTTATACAATATACATTGTAGGAAAATATGAAATTTATTTGTACAAAATTAAGAAACAAGAAAAGGCATAAGGCTTGCTTAGCTTTCTCCTGTTTCTGAGCAAGTACAAATGAATTTATAATTTTCTGACAATTGGAATATATTGTTTTTATATTTGCATAGTAAAATGGCAGGATGAAATATTTTGGTTTTTGGGCTATCTATACAGTAACCTTTTATTTTAATGCAAAACTTTCTGAATGATTAGAAGAATTAGGTAGATTTCTTTAGGGCATACGATACCATTTTGATCCCATAGTGATTTTTTGACGAAAATTTGCATACAAGCTATTTTTCACTTAGTCAATTCAAATATGTAATTAAAAAATACCTTTATGTGCTAAATTTAGAGATAAATGGGGTGGAAATTTTAGACATTTACTTAAAATTTCGTTTTCTTGGAACATTTCTATCCTTTGAACAGACAAACTTAACTTTTTTGTTTCAAAAGATATACACATGCAGATTTTTTTTTCAAATTTGGAATATCTTCTTTACAAAAGTATGCTCTTAATTTGTGTAACACTTCTTTGTAGATAATTCATTTTTATTAAATTTTCATTATTTTAGAAAAAAACCAGCAATTTTTGCTGCTTATTTATCTAATTTAAAAAAAAAATCATCTGTGATTTTTTCTTAAAAATTGGAACCACTTATCTTCTTATAGTATCAAGTTAAATGTCATTTTAAAAAAGAGTGGTCCATGTACTCGTTTTCAAGCTAATAATTAAAATAACTCGAAAAATGCATCTTTTCCCAATATGTCGCAGCTTGACGTTGTGAAAAATAACATTTTACGCTAGCAACGTCATTACAGCCCTTGTAACTGTATTGAGTGCCCTTTAAGATAACTTTATTGCATAAAAAGTAACATTGCACTCTTTGGTATAATGATAACCAAGGGAGGTAATATACAATCTGTTGGGTACATTCTACAGAGTTCAGAAATACTTTGTAATGTTAAGGGTAATTGCACAAATATTTGTCTTAATTATAATATTATTTTGCATTGCTTTTAAAGTACAGTATTTATTCTACAAAGGACAATATCATTTCCTACTTACTGTGCATTCATTTATTTGCATGGGTACCTATTTTCGAGGATTGAGGAAAAATTGTATTTTCATGGATATTTTAATTAGTCTTGTGCTTTTGTTAAAGTCTCAAGTCAAATCAATGAAAATTGGAATCCTACGTATGATAATAAATCAACAGTACATTCTATTATATTCTACATAGGTTTTACTGTTTAGTTCTAGTTTTATTATACGACCGCAAAAAAATTTTGTGGTCGTATATTGGTATGACGTTGGCGTCGTCGTCGTCGTCGTCGTCCGGCGTCGTCGTCCGAATACATACTGGTTTTCGCACTCTAACTTTAGTTTAAGTGAATGGATCTTTTTGAAATTTGACCATAAGGTTAAATACCACAAAAGGAAGGTTGGGATTGATTTTGGGGGTTATGGTACCAACAGTTAAGGAATTAGGGGCCAAAAAGGGGCCAAAAATAAGCATTTTCTAGTTTCCAGACAATAACTGTGGAACGGTGTATGGATCTCTCTGAAATTATACTATAAGTTTCCATACCACAAAGGGATGGTTAGGATTTGCTTTGGGGGGTTATGGCTCAAACCGTTTAGGAATTAGGGGCAAAAAAGGGGGAAAAACAAGGTTGTCCTGGTTAATGGACAAATACTTTTGTACAAAACATAATTTAAAGCAGTGTAAGGGAGATAAATCAAATACATCATTGAGATTATCTCCCTTACACTGCTTTTAAATTATGTATAAAGTAATGGTTAATGAACAATAAAGATAATTTAAAACAGTGTAAGGGAGGTAATCAAAATACAACGTTTTGGTTACTTCCCTTACACTGCTTTTAAATTATGTTTAAAGAAATGCATATCTATAAAGGAAGACCAGTAAAAATATCTGCAAATGTTGCATCTTTTTTTTTTACAAAAAAATCCATATGAAAGATTTGACAGTATATTTTTAATTCTATTATAAAATAGATTAAGTTAGCACTATGGTAAATTTAAATGGGTAATTATGGTTGCCAACTCCATTGGAAATTTGAATTGAGATTATGACCATATCTTGAGGGAAAGAATTTTTTGGGGGAAAAAAGGGGGGGGGGATAAAAGAAATTGTGGGGGGTCAATTTTTTCTCATTTCAGATTTCAGAAATTAAAAAGAATTATTCTTCAAATATTATTTTTTTTTCAAATTTCAAATATTGAAAAATTTCAAGAAGTAATCTTTAATTGCACAGTATGGCGCATTAGATTTGTAAAATCTTTGATCACATTTATTTATTTGTTATGCTGAATCTAACAGTGTATTTAAATTTTTAATTTTGGGTCCAGTTTTCAAATTGGTCTACATTAAGATCCAAAGGGTCCAAAATTAAACTTTGTTTGATTTTAGCAAAAATTGAATATATGAGGTTCTTTGATATGCTGAATCTAAACATGTATTTAGATTTATGATTTTTTGGCCCAGTTTTTAAGTTGGTCCAAATTGGGGTCCAAAATTAAACTTTGTTTGATTTCAACAAAAATTGAATATGTGGGGTTCTTTGATATGCTGAATCTAACCATGTATTTGGATTTTTTATTTGTGGACCCCGTTATCAAATTGGTTCATATTGAGGTCAAAAGGGTCCAAAATTAAACTTTGTTTGATTTCATCTAAAATTGAAGTATTGGGGTTCTTTGATATTCCAAATCTAACCGTGTATTTAGATTTTTAATTTTTGGTCCTGTTTTTTAAATTTGTCTACATTAAGGTCCAAAGGGTCCAAAATTAAACTTAGTTTGATTTTAACAAGAATTGAATTCTTGGGGTTCTTTGATATGCTGAATCTAAACATGTGTTTAGATTTTTGATTATGGGCCCAGTTTTCAAGTTGGTCCAAATTGGGGTCCAAAATTAAACTTTGTTTGATTTCAACAAAAATTGAATATATGAGGTTCTTTGATATGCTGAATCTAACCATGTATTTAGATTTTGATTATGGGCCCAGTTTTCAAGTTGGTCCAAATTGGAGTCCAAAATTAAACTTTGTTTGATTTCAACAAAAATTGAATATATGAGGTTCTTTGATATGCTGAATCTAACCATGTATTTAGATTTTTTATTTGTGGGTCCCGCTATCAAATTGGTTCATATTGAGGTCAAAAGGGTCCAAAATTAAACTTTGTTTGATTTCATCAAAAATTGAATTATTGGGGTTCTTTGATATGCCAAATCTAACCGTGTTTTTAGATTTTTAATTTGGGTCCCGTTTTTTAAATTGGTCTTCATTGAGGTCCAAAGGGTCCAAAATTAAACTTAGTTTGATTTTAACAAAAATTGAATTCTTGGGGTTCCTTGATATGCTTAATCTAAACATGTGTTTAGATTTTTGATTATGGGCCCAGTTTTCAAGTTGGTCCAAGTTGGGGTCCAAAATTAAACTTTGTTTTGATTTCAACAAAAATTGAATATATGGGGTTCTTTGATATGCTGAATATAACCATGAATTTAGATTTTTTATTTGTGGGCCCCGCTATCAAATTGGTTCATATTGAGGTCAAAAGGGTCCAAAATTAAACTTTGTTTGATTTCATCAAAAATTGAATTATTGGGGTTCTTTGATATTCCAAATCTAACCCGGTATTTAGA